CATCCTCGCTCTTCCTCCCTTCTCCGACCCCCCTTTCCACCCCCCAAAAAAACCCCAAAACCCCGATCCCATCCCTGGGGGTGAATCCCCTTCCTCCCACCCTAAAAAATCCCGGGATCCGCTCCCTCCTCATCCTCCCTCCCTTCCCTCATCCCCCTTTCCACCCCTAAAAACCCAAACCCGTCCTTGAGGGTAAAAATCCTTCATCCCGCCCTAAAAATGCACCGGGATCCGCTCCTTCCTCTTCCTCCTCCTCCTCGCACCCCCTCCCTTCCCTTTCCGCCCCCCAAAAATCCCCAAACCCATCCCTGGGGCTGAATCCCCTTCCTCCCACCCTAAAAATCCCGGGATCCGCTCCCTCCTCATCCTCACTCCTCCTCCTTTCCCTTTCCATCCCCCCAAAAAAACCCCAAACCCATCCCTGGGGCTGAATCCCCTTCCTCCCACCCTAAAAATCCCGGGATCCGCTCCCTCCTCATCCTCACTCCTCCTCCTTTCCCTTTCCATCCCCCCAAAAATCCCCAAACCCATCCCTGGGGGTGAAGCCCCTTCCTCCCACCCCAAAAATCCCGGCATCAATTCTCTCCTCATCCTCGCTCTTCCTCCCTTCCCCGACCCCCCCCTTTCCACCCCCCCAATACACCCCAAAACCCCAAAAACCCCGATCCCATCCCTTGGGAAGAAACCCCTTCCTCCCACCCTAAAAATCCGCTCCCTCCTCATCCTCACTCCTCCTCCTTTCCCTTTTTACTCCTCAAAACCCCCCAAACCCATCCCCGGGGGGGCTGAATCCCCTTCCTCCCCCCAGAAAAATCCCGGGATCCGCTCCCTCCTCCTCCTCCCGCCGCAGCCCGGGGGCAGCACGGCCCAGAGGCGGATTTGGGCGGCTTTTGGCGGATTTTGGGTGAATTTTCCGGGCGCGCAGGGGTTACGGGAGCGGCGGGCGCTCAGCGCGGCTGATTTATGGCCGCGCTTGGGGTTCACGCCGAGTTCAGGGGGAGCGGCGGCTGCCGGCTGAGCCACGGGCCCGCGGGGGGGCTGCGGCGCCCCCGCCCCAAATCCCGGGGGGCTCAGCCGGGGGGGCTGCGGCGCCCCCGCCCCAAATCCCCGGGGGCTCAGCCAGGGGGGCACTCTGGGGCCGCCCCCACCCCAAATCCCCCCGGGGCTCAGCCGGGGGGGCACTCTGGGGCCGCCCCCGCCCCAAATCCCCCCGGGGGCTCAGCCAGGGGAGGATTTTGGGGCAGCCCCCACCCCAAATCCCCGCAGGGTTTTCAACAAGGAGGGGATTTTGGGGCAGCCCCCACCCCGAATTCCCGGGGATTTTCAGCCAGGGGAGGATTTTGGGGTAGCCCCCACCCCGAATTCCCCGGGATTTTCAGCCAGGGGAGGATTTTGTGGCCGCCCCCGCCCCAAATCCCCGGGGGCTCAGCCAGGGGGGGATGCTGGGGCAGCCCCCGCCCCAAATCCCCCGGGATTTTCAGCCAGGGGAGGATTTTGGGGCAGCCCCCACCCCAAATCCCCGCAGGGTTTTCAACAAGGAGGGGATTTTGGGGCAGCCCCCACCCTGAATTCCCCGGGATTTTCAGCCGGGGGGGGATTTTGGGGCGGCCCCCACCCCGAATTCCCCGGGATTTTCAGCCAGGGGGGGATTTTGGGGCGGCCCCAGGGATTTCCAGCCCCAGGGAATGGAAAAGGGGGAGCAGGGGGGGTCCGCACCCCAAAAATCCCTCGGGGTTTTCAGCCAGGAGGGGATTCTGGGGCCGCCTCCGCCCCAAATCCACCGGAATTTTCAGACGGGGGGGATTTTGTGGCGGACCCCGCCCCAAATCCCCGCAGGGTTTTCAGGCAGGGGAGGATTTTGGGGTCGTCCCCACCCCGAATTCCCCGGGATTTTCAGCCAGGGGGGGATGCTGGGGCCGCCCCCACCCCAAATCCCCACAGGGTTTTCAGCCGGGAGGCGATTCTGGGGCCGCCCCCACCCCAAATCCCCCGGGGCTCAGCCGGGGGGGATGCTGGGGCCGCCCCCGCCCCAAATTCCCCCAAGATTTCCAGCCCCAGGGAATGGAAAAGGGGGAGCGGGGTGGGGAGGGTGTCCTAACCCCAAAATTCCTCGGGGTTGGAGGGGATTTTGGGGATTTTTGGGATTTCCAGCCCCAGGGAATGGAAAAAGAGGGGGAAAGGGAGTGGGAGAAGCTGCGCCCCCCAAAAATTCACCGGGATTGTGGGAACACGGGCGGGGAAATGCAAACAACCCCCGCCCCAAAATCCCTCCGCGGAGAATAAAAGGATTTTCATCCGGGAGGGGATTTTGGGGGATGGAAAAGGGGGAGCTGGGGGGGTCCGCACCCCAAATTCCCCTCCTGGCGTGGCGGGGCCGCAGCAGCAGCCCCCCACATTCCGGCTCGAAGGAGTGAAAACAGTTTATGGAAGGCAGCGGGGGCCTCGCCTCCCGCGGCAGCGGCCCCGTACATTTCCCAAACGTGACTCGGATCCCAAACGCTCCCGCGGCTCCCGCTCCTCCCGCGCCCAGAGCTCCGGGTTCTTTATTTTATTTATTGCATTTATTTTATTTTATTTTATTTTATTTTATTTTATTTTATTTTATTTTATTTTTTATTTTTATTTTTTATTTTATTTTATATTTATTTATTTTTATTTTTTATTTTATTTTATCTTATTTTATTTTATTTATTTCATTTTATCTTATTTTATTTATTTTATTTCATTTTATCTTATTTATTTTATTTTATTTATTATTTATTTTATCTTATTTATTTTATTTCATTTTTATTTTATTTAATTTTAAATTTTATTCTACTTCAATATTTAATTTTATATTTATTTCCTTTTTACATTTATTTTATACCCTTACCTTATATTTTATTTTATAATTTTTTCCCCTAAAGGTATTTTATTCTGTTTCATGTTTTATTCTATTCTATTATTTTATTTTGTATTTTCTTTTCTTTCCGCCTCTCGCCGCTGCAGGACCCGCCCGCCCTCGAGCAGCCCTTGGGGAATGTTAATGAGATGGGAATGTTAATGAGATGGGAATGTTAATGAGATGCAAATTCCAGCAGCCCTTAATCGCTCTCTGGGCCGGCGCGCGTGTTTGTGTGTGTGAACGTGCCTAATTAACGCTCCTAATTAACGCTCCTAATTACCGCAGCGGTGCAGGGCGCGGCTCGGGGCGCCCCGGCCCCGCGTTCCCGCGGGTTCCTAAAAATTCTCAGGGGTTCCTAAAAATTCTCAGGGGTTCCCATAAATTCTCAGGGGTTCCTAAAAATTCTCAGGGGTTCCCGGAAATTCTCAGGGGTTCCCATGGGTTCACGCAGGTTCCCGTAATTTTCTCTGCAATTCCACGCGTTCCCAATTCCCCGCGTTTGATCCCAATTCCGCATTCCTGCGTTTTCCGCAGGTCCCCAGTTCCCGTAAATTGGGGTTTAATTTAAACCGCAATTAATCCCCCTCAGCTCCAGACGCCGGCGGCTCCACAGGTCCCCGATCCCGCATTCCTGCAATTCCATGGATCCCCAATTCCATGGATCCCCGATCCCGCATTCCCACGGATCCCCCCAAACGACATCCCCGCATTTCCACAGGTCCCCGATTCCACAGGTCCCCAAATCGAATTTCCCCCAATTCCGTAAATCCCCAATTCCGCATTTATTCAATTCCACAGGTCCCCAAGCCCCCCTGCCGCCCCCGGGACGTGTCCCCAGCCCCGGGACGTGTCCCCAGCCCCGGGTCCTGTCCCCCCCGTCCCCTTCCCAGGATCGCCCCAGCCGCTCCCCCCTTTCCCCGCTCCGAGCGCCCCTCGAAACCCCAAAGAATTCCCCCAAAATTCTGCTTCCAGCCGGAGCGAGGTCGGCGCCGCTCCCGAATACTCGGGGGAAGCCCTGGGGGGACAGACCGGGTCTGGGGTGCGGACAGGGGTGCGGCGGGGAGGAAAAACGGGAGGGGAGCTCGGGGATCCCCAAAATTCCCCATCCCGCTCCTTCCCGGGGCTTCCACCCCAAATCCCTCACCCGGGGTGGGAATTCGGACGGGAAAATCCTGATTTTCCCCGTTTATTCCGGCATTTAAAACCCCGCAGGGGAGCGAATTCCGGCCCCGAGGGCGCTCCCCAAATTCCTCCGTCCCTTTTGGGTCCGGAAGGAGAATTTGGGAGCGAAATCCGCGGGGTTTGGGTGCTTTAAAAAAAAACCAAAACAAACGAAAACAAGAAGCTCCAGCGGCTGGCGGGGTTTTGTCGTGACCCCAAACGCGGCCCCGCCGCCTCCCCGCGGGTGTTTTTGTTTGCTGAGCAAATAAATCCATGGAAATCCATGGAAATCCATGGAAATCTCGCGATTCTCGCGGCCATTTACACCTCGCCGCCGCGCTCCTTTATTGCGATTAAAACTGTGCAAGATAACAGAAGAGAAAACGTAAAAACAATGATTTTAAAAATAACAAAATATTAAATAATAACAACATAACAAATAATTTTTAAAAAAAAAACAACAAGAGAGGGCTCGGAGCAGACGAACTCTGCGGGAACAACGCGGGGGTTTTTGGGGTTTTTTTGCTGTTTTTGCGGGAGGATTTGGGGCGAACAGTGCCGCCTTGTTCGGCTCACCCCGCGCTCACCCCCATTAATCACCCCCGACACTCCCGGGGCCTCTCGCCCTTTTCATCCCCGGCCCCCGCGGTGACACCGCCGGCTGTCCCCTCCCCGCCGCGGCTCCCGAAACACCCGAAACTCCCCAAAACCACGGAATGTCCCCATTTCCAGCAGTTATTTCGCGCTGAGAGCCGCTCCTCCCGCATAGCCCGGCGCGGGAGGAAAACGAACACGAAATGAGGAAAAATGAGGCGAAAAAAGCCCAAATCGCCTCCCCGCTGCGTTTTTCTCGCCTTTCCCCCAGGAGCTCCCGCAGGGGTGGATGCGGGGCTGCGTTTTTGGGGATTTTGTCCGAGAATTTTGGCACCAGCGGGAGGATTTGCAGCATCCAAAACCCGCGCGGGTGCGGGAGGAGCCGCGCGGAGCCGGGAAGCGGCTGCGGATCCCGGGAATTCTGGCACGGACCCGAGCGGCCCTGGCACGGCGGGGGTTAAACCAGCCCGGGGGGGCACCCCCAGACCGGGATTGGGGTCCCCAGACCCGGATTTGCACCCCCAGACCCGGATTTGTGTCCCCAGACCCCTTCTCCGAGACGCTCAGCCGCGCGAATCCCGGGGCCGTGGGAAGGGGCAGAGCCCCGGGGCGGCGTCCGGGGGCTGCAGATCCCATTTCCCTGCGGTCCCAGCGCCACAAATCCCCATTTCCCGATGTTCCCAGCTCCCCAAACCCCCATTTCCCCAAACCCCCATTTCCCCAAACCCCCATTTCCCCAAACCCCCATTTCCCGGTGTTCCCAGCTCCCCAAATCCCCATATCCCGATGTTCCCAGTTCCCCAAACCCCCATTTCCCTGCGGTCCCAGCTCCCCAAACCCCCATTTCCCCAAAAACCCATTTCCCCAAAAACCCATTTCCCGGTGTTCCCGATTCCCCACATTCCCGTTTCCGTGTCCCGCTGGGAAGGTGCCGCACGCGGGGACGCGGGGACAGGAGGACACGGGGACAGGAGGACACGGCCAGCACGGGGACACAGGGTCGAGGGACAAGAGGACACAGCCAGGACTGGGACACAGCCAGCAAGGGGACACGGCCAGCACGGTGACATGGGGACAGGAGGACACGGCCAGGACGAGGACAGAGGGACACAGGGTCGGGGGACAAGGGGACACGGCCAGCACGGGGACACGGCCAACACGGGGACACGCGTGTCCCTGCGGCTCTGGCACACTGCAGCGCCCTCGGAGCGCTGTCCAAACCCCAGGAAACCGCCCCAAACCCGGGGGCAGCCGAGCCGGGACCCCCGCGTCCCCTCCAGCCCATCCCCGCTCCCGGGGGGCTCACCCCGAACCCCCCTTCCCCCCGCCACCCCCTCACCCTCCTGTCCCTCCGCTCCCCGGGCCGGCAGAGCGCGGCCAAAAGCGGCGTTTTGGAATTTTTCGGGCATTTTCCGCGGCCCTTTCCCGGTTTTTCCGCGGAAACAAACGCTCATTAGCATTCCGGGCCGCTGCCTGACCTCTCCTTGCACCCGCAGCCGGGCGGAGCCGGCGCGGCGGCTGCGCCCGCGGAGCGCCGAGCGCGCTCTAATTCGGCGATTACTGTCACAGGGCCATTTGTCACCTTGTCACCCGCCCCGGGGACACTCGGCGGACGTCAGGGCCCCGCGCCGCCCCCCCGGCGCTGCTTTCATCTCTGCAGATCCAATTAAAGATCGGGGGGTTCGGCGGAGAGCGGGGGAAGGGGAGCGCGGGGCGAGGTTCCAGCGCCATAAATCCCCATTTCCCAAATCCCCATTTCCCCAAAATCCCTGTTTTCACAGTCCCCATTTCCCCACGTTTCCATTTCCCCGCGTTCCACAAATCCCCATTTTCCACAAAGCCCCATTTCCCAAAAATCCCCATTTTTCACAATCCCCATTTCCCCACGTTTCCATTTCCCAGTGTTCCACAAATCCCCATCTCCCACAAATCCCCATTTTCCACATTCCCCATTTTCTACAAATCCCCATTCCCACAATCGCGCTTTTCCCGGTGTTTCCAGTGCCATAAATCCCCATTTTCCCGCTTTTCCAGTTCCCCAAATCCCCATTTTCACGTGTTTCCATTTCCCGGTGTTTCCAGTGCCATAAATCCCCATTTTCCTGCTTTTCCAGTTCCCCAAACCCCCATTTTCCCGTGTTTCCATTTTCCTGCTTTTCCAGTTCCCCAAACCCCCGTTTCCCCAAATTCCCATTTCCCGGTTTTTCCAGTGCCATGAATTCCAATTTTCCTGCGTTTCCAGTCCCCCAAACCCCCCTAAATCCCCCCAAAATCCCCGATTTCCCCGGGATGGGGGCGGCTGGAGCGCCCTTGGAGCAGAGGAGAGCGCTCCCCCTCCCCCAATTAATTCCCCGAATCAATTAAATACCGGCCAGGGCTGCGCTGCCTTCATTAACGCTCCCGGTGTTAATTAGCAACAGGCGGGAGCCGCCCTCCCCCCCTTCCCGCCTCCCCCCTTTCCTCATTAATTAATTGCTGTCAGTAATTAATAGATCGGGGGGGCTCGGCGTGGGGGAGGGGCGGCGGTGACCCCGCCGTCACCCCGGCCCGGGTGGGGGAGGGGCGCGATGGCAATTCCAAGGGGGTGGGGCTGTCCCAAAAAAAGGGTCGGGATTGGGGGGGAGAACGCTGGAAAAACCCGGAGCTGGAGGGAGGTTTTGGGGCGAAAATCTGGGAAAATGGGAGGAGGGGAAATTTATGGGGCGAGGGAAAATCTGGGATATTGAAATGGGAAAATCTGGGATGCTGATACGGGAAAATCTGGGATGATGATGAGGGAAAATCTGGGATGCTCTGGGATGATGATGACGAAAAATCTGGGTTGTTCTGGGATGCAGATCCAGGAAAATTTGGGATGTCCGTGAAGGAAAATCTGGGATATTCTGGGATACTGATCCAGGAAAATTTGGGATCCTTTGTGATGCTGATGTGGGAAAATCTGGGATGCTCTGGGATGCGGGTACAGGAAAAATTGGGATAAAGGTACAGGAAAATTTGGATTCTCTGGGATGCAGATGAAGGAAAATCTGGGACACTGACATGGGAAATTCTGGGATGCGGGGAAGGAAAAGCCGGCCTCGCTGGGGCAGCCCCGCTCCCTTCCCGAGGCTTTCCCGGCTGGAAAATCGCAGCCGCTCATCCTCCCTTGTCCGGGCTCCCTCTGGAGTCGGCGGAGAGAATCGGCACCAAAGCCGGCAATTCCGGGGAAAGCACCCCAAAACGCCGGATCCTAAATGGTCTGTTCCCAAACCCGGCGATTCCAAGGAAAAAACCCCAAAAAAATCCCAAAAAAGCGGGCCTGACCGCCCTGAATCCCGCCCAGGGAGTGACCCGGCAGGGAACGAGGGTCACCCCCAGAGCCATTCCCTCCCCTGCCCTGGGGGGCCTGGAAAGGGCTGGAAAGGGATTGGAGCGGGGAGAAAAGTCTGGGAATGGGAACAAACCAGGGAATGGGAACAAACCAGGGAATTCCTGGGGGCGGGAATGGGAGAAAAGGCAGGGAATGGGGGCGGGAATGGGAACAAACCAGGGAATGGGAACAAACCAGGGAATTCCTGGGGTCGGGAATGGGAACAAAGCAGGGAATTCCTGGGGGTCAGAAATGGGAACAAACCAGGGAATGGGGGCGGGAATGGGAGAAAAGGCAGGGAATGGGGTTGGGAATGGGAACAAATCAGGGAATTCCTGGGGTCGGGAATGGGAACAAACCAGGGAATTCCTGGGGTCAGAAATGGGAACAAACCAGGGAATGGGGTCGGGAATGGGAACAAACCAGGGAATTCCTGGGGTTTGTGGGGTCTGGAACAGGATCAAAGCCAGGGAAGGCTCAGGACCTGAACGTTGCATTTGTTGGGTTTGGTTTTGCTGGGATTTGGGATCATCCCGGGGAGAATTGGGAATTTCTTCCCGGGGGAAGTTTCCTTCCCAGAAAATCCAAGTGCTCCCAGCCAAAGGGACCAAATTCCACCTGAAATCACCCAAAAAAAGGGCCTGGCCAGAGCAGGGTGGCTCCATCATCCCGATCCCACAGACGGGGCAGGAGCAGCTCCGTGGGGATTTGGGAAATCTGCAGCTCATCCCCCCAAAATTCCCTCTGGAAAAAGGGGCCGAGCTCCCAGCTCACAAAATTTGTTTTTTTCCCCCATTCCCCTTGAAACCTAATTAAAAAAAACCCCAAACCTCGCTCCCAGAGCTCCAGGAACGCTCGGGAGCGATCCCGGGATCCCCGGGAGGAGAATCCCGGAGGTGAAAGGGAAGGGAATCATTGGAAAGGGACGGGATTTACGGCCGGGCCGGCTCGGCCGCCGCTCCCCGACGGGGACCGGGGATAATTGGAGCGGGGGAAGCCATCAATCCCGGGAAGGGGGATTTTCCGGCCGGGATACAGCGATTACTGTCAGATTATGACACCATCATATCAAGATCGATGGGGTTTTAAACGCGCCCCAGTTCCGGGCGATTGGTGACAATAAAAACAGTGACAGATCGGCGGAGTCGGGGCGGAGTGAGGGGGGAAAAGGGGGGAAAAAGGGGAAAATCCGCTTTTTGCAGGAATAAAAATAACGGGGAGGGAGGGAGGAAGGAAGGAGGGAGGGAGGGAGGAAGAAGGAAGGAAGGAAGGAAGGAAGGAGGGAGGGAGGAAGAAGGAAGGGAGGGAGGGAGGGAGGGAGGAAGGGAGGTTGGTTCGTTGGTTCCCGCCTCCCCCCGTCCCCCCCAATGCCTCTTTCCTTGTTTTTTTTTTACCAATTCTCGCCTTTATTAATTCCAGAATTCCACAGAAAACCCCCCACGAACCCTCCCCCCATCCCTTCCCTAAGGGGAAACTGAGGCAGGGCCCGTCCCCCGCCCCCTAAAGGAGCCCCAAGCACCACCCCCGAGTGGGGAAACTGAGGCAGGGATTCACCCTCTGCCCTGTAGTGTTGCCCTAAATCCTGTTCTGAGCGGGGAAACTGAGGCAGGGACCCATCAACCCCCTCTCCCCAGTCGCAAACTGGTCAAACTGGGACAGGGACCCCCCAGCTCCCTCATCCCCAGTCCCAAACTGGTCAAACTGGGGCAGAGACCCACCGACCCCCTTTTCCCCAGTCCCAAACTGGTGCAGTCCCCCTCCATCCCCCTTCCCCCCAGTCCCCAGCTGCTCAAACTGGGGCTGGGACCCCCGAACCTTCTTTTTCCCAGTCCCAAATTGGGGCAGGGACCCCCGAACCCTCTTTTTCCCAGTCCCAAACTGGTCCAGTCTCCCCCCAAGCCCACTCCCCCCAGTCCCAAACTGGTCCAACTGGTCCAGCGCCCCCCCGTCCCCACTCCCCCCAGTTCCCAACTGGTCCAACTGGGACAGGGACCCCCCAAGCCCACCCCCCCCAGTTCCCAGCTGGGGCAGGGACCCCCCAAGCCACCGCCCGTGCCTCAGTTTCCCTCCTATGGGATGGATTGGGACCCTCTGGGAACCCCCCGTGCCTCAGTTTCCCTCCCATGGGATGGACTGGGACCCACCCGTGCCTCAGTTTCCCTCCTATGGGATGGAGCGGGACCGCCCGTGCCTCAGTTTCCCTCCTATGGGATGGATTGGGACCCTCTGGGAACCCCCCGTGCCTCAGTTTCCCTCCCATGGG